ATTTCAAATGGAAAAGTGAACCATTTAGGGTCATAGAAGCAGAAAAAAATGACTTTATTCATAAGTAACACATGTAACTATAAAAACATAAGTTGGGGGACCAGCAGTTAGCGTAATGGCTATGTCGCTGGACTCCCATGTAGCAGACTGAGGCTGAAGTCCCAGACCCGCTGGCTTAAACTCACACCAGGCGCATGTGGGTATGTGCCCAATATCCCGAGAGTAGAATGGAGGAGAAGGGATTGCGGCATGGCCATCCCCCCTGGGGAGGTGATTTCCCACTTTCTGTCTCTCTGTCTCTCTCTGTCTTTCTGGTGAGCACATGTGCCCTACAACAGAAACCTCTCCAAAAAAGATAAAACGTAAGTTGGAACTAGAAGGTTGCACCTTCAATTCATGATAATGGTTTCCTGTGGGAGGAACACAAGGAAGGAAGGACAGGCTAAGTAAGAGATGGTGGGGCATTCCACGGGACCCACTGTTTTGGATTTTTCTAAATAAATAAAATGTGCCACTAGAGTGTTTATTGTTAATTCTGGGAAACAGAAACCAGGAACGACTTACACAATTCTTTGTACTTTTAATTATTTTAAAGTTTTTCCCCAAAAAAATTAACAAATAGAACGTGGTAGGGACTTTATATTTCATGGACCATTTAATCGTGTATTTACTGAGAAGTTTGCAACATTTTCATATTTTTAGAAATTTGACAAGTTCACTCACAAAGTTGATGCACATACAAATTAGACAAAACATCCTCTCGCTATCTCTTTATTTATTTTCAAATTCTTGAGATTTTTGTTATAGGGCATGTGCACTTGCCAAAGAGACAGAAAACAAGAAATCACGCCTCAGGAGGACGGCCACGCAACAATCCCTGCTCTTCCATTCTCCTCTTGGGATCTTGGGCATGCACACACATGCGCCTGGCATGAGTTTAAGCCACCAGGTCCAGGACTCAAACCGCAGTCAGCTACATGGGAGTTCAGCGACATAGCCATTATGCCATGTGCTGGTTCCCTCCTGCTACCTCTTTTTTGTTTGTTTTTGGAGAGGTTTTTTGCTATAGGGCACATGCGCTCGACAGAGAGAGACAGAGAGAAAGAAAATAAGAAATCACCCCCCTACAGGGGATGGCCACACCACAATCCCTTCTCCTCCATTCTCCTCTCAGGATCTTGGGCACGCACGCACACGCGCCCGGCGTGAGTTTAAGTCACCAGGGGGACTGAAACCTCAGTCAACTACATGGGAGTCCAGCAATGTAGCCATTACACCATCTGCTGGTTCTCTCCTGCTATCTCTTTAAAATATAAACTTTTGTCTGATATTTGAGCTAGAATAGTTGTTCCTTTTTCCACTGAAGTGTCAAATCTTTTTATATAAGGGAGATTCACAGGAAATATTATCAACAGTGTTTATTTACAGGATCTCACCCTAGACTCTGGGGTCCGGACCTGTCATTCACTGGAGTGAGATCCTTTGCAAGGCCTCACAATTGGTTCCCTGTTATACAGGGAAATAAACTTAGACTCAGTGAGAACAAGTCAGCAGGTCACTGTTACCCACTAAATCCAGAACGGAGACAGCTTCAACAGGCTATGACAGGTGCCGACGTTTTTAAGTGGCCATGGGTAATCAGATAAGACTTCTTTCTAAACATAAATGTTATAAATGCAGTGAATGCCCCAAAAGAACTAGATTCATCACTCACCTCTATTTTTTTTTGGAGAGGTTTTTAGCTATAGGGCGCGTGCGCTCACCAGAAAGACAGAGACAGGAAGACAAAAAGCAAGAAATTATCCCCCGGGGGGATGGCCATGATGCAATCCTTTCTCCTCTGTTCTCTTCTCGGGATCTTGGGCACACACACACACGCGCCCGGCGTGAGTTTAAGCCACCGGGTCCAGGACTTGAACCGCAGTTGACTACATGGGAGTCCAGCGACATAGCCATTACGCTAACTGCTGGTCCCACCTCTATTTTTTTTTAAGAGACACATTGTCTTATTACCACAAGCAATTGTCTATGCAGTTTTTCCCATGAGGCCCTTCACAAGGGACCTCTTCTCAGGGAATATCATTCCTATCATAGACATCTTTATTATTTAAACTCTTTTTCTTAATTTATTATAACTTCGTTAGCTTCAAAGATATTAATTACAATAATTTTTGGACAAACAATTTTTTTATTCTGAGTTTACAAAGAAAAAAACTCAGTGTGATAACCAAAAGGTTTGTTGACCTAACACCTAAAATAAACCATCACCAAAGAGCTGCTTTTCTGACCGATGACCTGATTGGGGAAGTACCTTAAAATGACAGGAAGTCTCTATAATGAGTGCACTGGCTAAATTTGTGACACTGCAGCACCTTTTATCTGCTTTTTATATTCTCTATTTAATGGTGTGGCTGTGGCTGTACCTTCCCATTTAAATCCATCGGTAATTTCTATGGAATAACCACTACTCATTTGCCACCATAATTCATAAATATTATACAGACCAATTAAAGTTATTACAGGGACCAGCAGGCATGGTGATGAAGACACCGGATCCCCATGGCCAACCACAGTTTGAGTCCTGGACTTGGCAGCTTGAAAAACATACCAGATGCAGGAGTGTGTGCATCCAAATCTTGAGAAGAGAATGGAGAAGAAGGGATTGTGGCGTGGCCATTGCCCCTGGGGAGTGATTTCTCGCCTTCCCTTTCTCTGTCTCTCTGATGAGTGCACATGCTCTATGACAAAAAAAAAAAAGTTATTGCCAGAATATTACATTGTATTAATTATAGCATTAAATAGTAATATATACCACTGCCATTGTATTATAAAATAAAGTGATTATTTATTATGGAAATTTTATTAGCATAAAAATGCAATGGCTCGAGGCTAGTGAGCCATTGTGATATTCTGCCACACACATGGCTGCCAGCTCCTGACTCCTCTGACACCTCCCTGGGCACGCCCTGCACAGTGCAGGCAGGCTGAGGCTGGAGATGGATTCGGGCAGCAGCCTTGTCCAGGGTGCTATCTCTCTGTCTCCAGCTCTCTGTCTCTCTCAGAGAGATGAAATAATAGAATAAATCTTTTTTTTTTTCTTGTTTTGCCAGAGGGTATGTAGTTTATAATTCTTTTCTTTCTTTTTTTCTTTTTCTTTTTATTTTTTTCCAGAGGCTGCACGCGCTCACGTGGGGGAGGAAGAGGACCCCCATAGAGGATGGTCATGCGGCAATCCCTTCCACTCATTTCCCCTTCCTTTCAGACTTTGGGCACACATTCACATGCACCGCGTTTCTTGAGCCACTTGACCCGGGACTTGAACTGTGTGTTGGCCGTGGCTTCCAGTCACCTTAACCATCATGCCACCAGATGGCTCTAGAGCAGTAATTCAACCGATATTTTAGATGTATTCCAGAAAGTTTTTGTAACTCTCCAGAAAAAAATTATTTTTATTAATATTACTCACGAAGAAAGAATGTAAGTTTTCACAATTGTCATTCATTGACATTACCTAACGCGCCGAAAGATAGACTGTTAAGTCTTCTAGAGACCCTTTCTATAAGGAGACAACAAAATGAAAGCAAGTAAACATTGGAATTAGCCTAAGGAATGTCATTTCCATCAAAGCAAGTCACATGTTATATATTATATAACAAATGTTGATGCATAGTAACTTTAAACTTCTGATTATAACTACTTAAAGTTTACATTTTCAATTATTTTTTATTACTATTACAAAATAAATCACAGATACTCAAACCGTTTTATTGAAAGAGCACCCATTTTCTTTTCTTTTTTTTTTTTTTTTGAGAGGTTTTTGCTATAGGGTGCGTGCACTCGCCAGACAGAGAGAGACAGAGAGACAGAAAGCGAGAAATCACCCCCCAGAGGGGATGGTCACGCCGCAATCCCTTCTCCTCCATTCTCCTCTCGGGATCTTGGGCACGCACACACACGCACCCAGCGTGAGTTTTAAGCCACCAGGTCCGGGATGCAAACAGCGGTCGACTACTTGGGAGTCCAGTGACATAGCCATTACGCTAACTGCTGGTTCCCAAAAGAGCACCATTTTCTGATAGGCAGGAGGATTCCCTTTGAGCAGGCCAACTGGTCCTTAGTAAAACCAGCAAGATCTGGTTTGCGACCCAGCATCCAGCTTTTGCAAGTGTTTACCCAAGTGCATAGGGAACTAGCGTGCTTTGACACATGAAAACTGCCTCCTCTGCAGTCGTTTTAGTTGTATATATCTTAATTCCTCGTTCTAAACTCATTACTGAAAAATAGACATCTCTTTTAAAAAAGAATTACTGGTTTTAATTTAGCTTTTCTTTCTCTCTCTCTCTCTCTCTCTCTCTCTCTCTCTCTCTCTCTCTCTCTCTCTCTCTCTTTTTTTTTATTTATACAGAGAG